CATTTCAACTACAAATGTGGGTAGAAAGGCACCATGAAATCAAAACTGGCTAGAGAAGATGGGAAATGGGTCAGAAGGAAGCAGGTCTCCCCAAAAAAGCCTCCCCTACCCAAGCATAAGAGCCCAAAAAGAAAGGGTGTCGGTGTCGAGCGGGGGTTATCCCGCAGAGGGGCCTCCTGCCCGTCTTCTTCCCCCCCCGCCAGCAAGCAGGGCTAACTTTTCCATTTCAGCAAGGATCAGGGTCGTTTTTCCCGTGATTTGATTCAGTTTAATGCCTTCTTACATTCCTAGAAATTTACATGAATGTACCTGTAGGGGCTGCGGGAGTTAGAGGACTGGGAGGTCGAGGCTACCTGGCGTACACGGGCCTGGGCCGAGGATACCAGCTCAAAGAAAAGAGGGGAGAGGACAAACTCTACGACCTCCTGCCAGGGATGGAGCTCACGCCGATGAACCACGTCACACTAAAGCCCCAAGGGATCAAACTCGCTCCTCAGGTACCGAAAATAGCATCAATATCCCGGCCAACCGTCGTCTTTGCCCAAAATGCTTCGGGAAAACAGGCCCCTGATGGGATCTGTGCTGGGGACTGCTAATTAAATCCCTTCTTGCACCTCCAAAAACATTAAAAAAATCAATGATACTGGTTATGCCTTGTAATATCCACCCACCTCACTGTAGAACAGCGTCCACTCACAGACCCCTAGAATTGTCTGGGTTGGAGAAGACCTTTAAGATCACCATTGGCCACGGAGAGCTGGCATAAACACCCATGGGGGTCAGGTGAAATCCAGTTGTGGTTGTTCCTCCATGAAAGCACCGAGGGTAAAGAAATTCCCACCCAAAAAGGGTTTGATACATGAGATGCACCCCCTGGGGCTTCACCGAGGGGTGAATGCACATGCAGGGAAAAATAATGTACATTTTTAAACTATTTATGGGGAAGGAGGTGTTGACCACAACCCAGCCCAGGGCAGAAGCTCTGGTACCTCCAGGAGGTTTTTGATTTGGTTGTGCTTGTGGGCCTGGGATCCAGATGGATGGATGAGGGCTGAGGAGAAATCCAGAACAAATTCCCCCAGTCTCTGAAGGTCCAGCTCTTACAGTAACTCTTTTCCCCTTACCTTCTCCAAAGCAAACTGAGAAACCAGCTTCACCCTGAATTTTGAAGCTCATCTTTGCTTATTGACACTGAATTACCACAGCATTCAGTTTGCCACAGTCTGTGAAAACATCCTTTTTTCCTCCCGGAATACTGGATAGTGGGATTTTTTCCCTCCTACAAAATTCCACAGTGCCCTTACCCTATTATATCAGAACCACAGAACGGCCTGGATTGGAAGGGACCTTAAAGCTCATCTAGTTCCAACCCCTCTGCCACGGGACACCTTCCACTGGAGGTGTGAGATCACCTGAGTGGTTCTGCAGTGCCTCAGGGCAGCTGAAATTCCCCTTTTCCTCTTCCCATCCTTGCCAACTCTGCGTGTTCCAGCACTGAGGACTTGCTCTGTGGGGCACATTTTTCCAGCAGCTGAGCTCCCTAATCCCCCCACTGGCTACTGTCTCACAACAGCAGGTCACAAAGCCCTGCAGTTTGCCTCATGGCAGCCTCGTTAACGGGACAAGCTCATTAATACCTGTCAGCACGGACAGGCTCTCCCATCCTCTGTGCTGACACCATTCCAAAACCCCTTGGAATGGTTTGGTTCTCGCTGCTCAGCTGGGGTGCTCAGTGTTGGTACCCAGATCTGCCTTATTGAGGATCTCGAGGTTGATGTGACATCATAAACCCGCCACCCACACGAAGGTGCTGGGACAGCAGGGAACAAGTGTTGCCCCAGTCCAGAAATGTAATGAACTATTTATTTACACACCAGGTGCTGAACTTCAGCGGGGAGCTGTGATTGCAAAATTCAAAGCAGCACCGACGTTTATATTTTACATTTTCATTTTAAATAAAATGAAGTGTAAGTTTTAAATAGGCAAGACTTTGGGGTGACTTAATTGTGGCCTTCCAGGACCTGAAGGGAGCCCACAAGAAAGGTGGAGAGAGGCTATTTACAGGGGTCTGGAGCGACAGAACACAGGGAATGGTTTTCCACTGCCAGAGTGCAGGGAGAGATGGGATATTGGGAAAGAATTGTTCCCTGTGAGGGTGGGGAGGCCCTGGCACAGGCTGCCCAGAGAAGCTGTGACTGCCCCTGGATCCCTGGAAGTGTCCAAGGCCAGGTTGGACGGGGCTTGGAGCAACCTGGGCTGGTGGGAGGTGTCCCTGCCCATGGCAGGGAGTGGGACGGGATGAGCTTTAAGGTCCCTTCCAAGCCCAAACCATTCTGGGATTCTGTGGGTAAAAACCCTGAAATCCAAAGGCAAAGCAGGAGTGTTTCTGGACAGCAATTCCCAATTACCATGGAATCAGCTGTGCTGGGACTGAGGGCAACGTGGTTCAGCATTTCCCTTTCAAACTAAAAGCAGGAGTCGCCTGCTGAAGCCTGTGTAATTAATTGGATGGAAACACAACCCTTTTTCTTTTTAAAAAGAAGGCTATTTGGACTTCTCATGCTCTGTAACCCACTAAGCCAGGGGGTCAACAGAGCAGTGAAGATGAATGCAACTCAAGGGTTTTTTTGGTACTCTGAAGTAGGAGAGCAGATATGGAGTTTTTGAGGAGAATTCAAAGAAAACCACTCTGAAACCAGAATAAAGCAGCTAATCAGCAAAAGGACAAAGGCATCCAATTTAACAGGGAATAACTTCAGGAATTAAACAGGTTTTTGAAGTAGAAAACATTTAGATTAATCTTATACTTGAAGGGGGCTGTAGTAACCTGTCTGCCATTTATTTTATGTTTTGTAAGCTTTGAGGAAGCTGCCACGACTCCCTGAAAACCCCTTGGAGGGAAGGAAGGCAGCTGCCCAGTGCAGGGGCTGGGTGAGAAGGCTTCTGTGCACCAATTAACCTGAGCAAAAACCCCTTTTCTTCTTCTAGATCTTAGAAGAAATCTGCCAGAAAAACAACTGGGGACAGCCTGTTTACCAGCTCCACTCTGCAATCGGCCAAGATCAAAGACAGCTCTTCCTGTACAAAATCACCATCCCTGCCCTTGCCAGCCAGAACCCCGCCATGTATGTAATTATTTGAGGTATTCTGAGGTTTAGGATTCATTTTTTAAATGGCATTTTATCTAAAATCTCTCCTCAAAGCACAGTCACACAGGTCTCTATTCCTTTTTTTTTTATGTATTATGTATTAGGGAGAAAAACATCCACAACCTAAAACAGACAGATGTCTGCCATGCTTGGTGCTCTCTCTCTCTGGTGGTGCAAACATTACAGAAGGCCAGATGTAATCAGGCAAAAGGGGGCTTTTTAAGACAGAAATAAAACATACCATAGCTCTTGTGGGGAAATGAAAGGAGCTTGAAGGAACATGCTGCTATTTAGGCTCCAAATACGATTCTAAACATTTCTGACCTAAAACCCTCTTTGCTGTGTATTGTAAAAAAAAAAAAAACACAACACCCCCTGACTGTGTATTTTAAAGAAAAAACACAGCAGGTTTTTTTGGGTTTGTTTTTGACTGAGGAAAGCACAACAAACTCTGAGAGGACTTTGTGTCCAAAATGAGAGCCAGGGTCAGTAACCTCAGCAGGGAAACCAGCCCACTACGAGGAGAGTGCTCCCGTTAGTGCAGCAGCAGCACAGGAAAATAAAGCTCCTGTTTGCTGTGTGGGATGATGGCAGCTACAGGCAGACCAAAAGATCTCGCAGGAAAGCCCCAGGGAACACAAACCCAGCTAACACGTTGCTGTGCTCACAGACATCCCTTCACGCCGCCCAAGCTCAGCGCCTACGTCGACGAGGCCAAAACCTACGCGGCAGAGTACACCCTGCAGAGCCTGGGCATCCCCGTGGAGGGGGCAGAGGTGCCTCCCACAGCGCCAGCTTTTCCAGGTATGGGAAGGTCTGTACAGCAAAAGTCTCCTGGAATGTTATTTTTCCAGCTGCTTCCTTGTGGGTGTCGAGAACAAACCTGGCTTAGTTGTGCTCCCCCACGTGCCTTGACTTGTGTTACTTGTGTGTGTGGCAGTTTTATCACAGAATCCCAGAGTGGTTTGGCTTGGGAGGCTCCTAAAAGATCCTCTTGTTCCACCCCCTACCATGGGCAGAGACACCTCCCACTAGCCCAAGTTGCTCCAAGCCCTGTCCAACCTGGCCTTGGACACTTCCAGGGATCCAGGGGCAGCCACAGCTTCTCTGGGCAACCTGTGCCAGTTTATTGCCTACAAAGCAATTTATCTCCAAACCAGGACTACCCAAATTACAGGGTACAAACCACAGAGTAGCTCAGGCTGGAGGCACCGGGGTGGGGGGGTCTCTGCTCCAACCCTGCCACAGATGCAGGAGGTTGTGCAGGGCTGAGTCCAGGAGAGCTGGGGCAGTGTCCAAGGATGGGGAACCCCACCACCCGGGGGCCCATCCCAGCTACATACCTCCTCTCCACTCCTTCCAGTTTGGGAATGCCTCCCTTCAACTGGGAGTCTCAGGCAAGGTGCAGGATCCAAAACTGGAGTGCCCAAGTGGGATGAGTCCCCTCCCCGGACCTGCTGGCTGATGCCACCCAGGATGGAGTAGCTCTTCCTCACTGCAAAGACACACAGTTGTTTGATTCATGGCCCATCCACCACCCCCCAGTACCCCCAACTCCCTTTGAACCAACACTTAGGATTTCACCCACCAAAGAAATGACGTGAAAGTTTGGATCTGATCCCAGCTCTCACACCCCCACTGGAAGGGGTTGGGTTTTTTTTCCCAGTTTGGGAATTCATACTCAATAGCTCTTGCAACTGCTTCAAACAGCTTGGGAAGCCATGGAAAACCCAGGAATCCGGCTCACAGGCATTACATTTACCGTGCTCTCCAGCACGATGGTTATTCTGATGTAGTGGCAGCAGCACACGCCAAACTGCACATGAGGAATGCATTAGTCAGTACTACTGAGTTGTTTGGAGTGTCTCAAGGATGGATTTTTAAAAAAAATAAAAATCTATCCGGCTTCCTGCCACAGGAGTCCGCAAAAGCCACAGAAAAATCAATTTGTCTGGGTTTGTGCAGGGCTTCCGCAGCGTGGAAACCAAATGGGCTCTTTATTGAATCCAGTCCCCACTTACTGCCTCATTAGAATCTCTCCTTTTCTTTCACCCACCATTATTTATTTGTCTTGGAAACACAACAAATTGACAAGCATTGAAGTTTCTGCTTGCAACACACGCACTGGTCCTTGATCAGGGCTTGCTGAAGGCCAGCTCAGCTCAGGCCATGCCCGGGTAGCAGCTCATTCCTCTTGTGATGGTGGCAGATATGCCTTAAAACACTCAATCCCTGGTCAAAACATTGCACCTCACTTTGCTCATGCAGAGAAAATACTCTGAACAGCCACGTCACTCAAATTAAGGTGAATTTCTCATGTTTTCCCCCAAAATAACGCTTCTGATGAGGCAACGTGTGCATTGCCCAATATCACCATTCCCCCCCAGCAGGAGGAGCTCAGCTCTGACTGACCTTGAGTTGATCCCATTGCCCAGCTGGTCAGAGAGATTTTGGAGCCAGGAGATCCAATGGATACCCCACCCCAGCTGCTCTTCCCAAATTTAGGCTTTGTCTTAACTCCTGATTCTTTCACGACACAATAGTGTGCTCTGGTCAACGAGCTGCCCTCGGAGAACCCAGCCCCAAACCATATTTGTTTTTCCCCAGTGATTCACTCCAACTCAGCAAAGCAAACATCTTCCCATGGAAAACTTTGAAGTGTTGAAACCACATTTTCCATTAGAAACTGACGGGAATAAAAAAAATCCAGTCTGCTAAATATTTCCTCCTCGATGCTGCACAGAGGGAGTTTCCCTCCTCTCTGACCTGACTGTCCTGAATTCCATGTGGTTTGACTGTGAAGGGTATCAGAGCCATAATTTCTTTATGAAACTTGCCCAAATTTCCCTGATATTATGTCATTTTCTTGCCCTTCTCATGCCATGCATGGGAGGACGGGTACAGAGCACATTAACACCCTCTTAGCTCAGAAATAATCAAAGCCCACGGAAAAAATATTTCACAGAGAGAGGTGTTTTTCAAGCACCGTCTTTAACAAACTGTAGGTGAGGAAGTGCATTAATTTTCCAGGTTTTTTTCTCAGCTCCCTTTGAAAAAACATGCCAGCAATGACCTATTTAATTTAATTAGATCATTCCCATGAAGAAGCTCACTGCTCCCTAGGCCATCCCCATCCCCGGGGGATCAAAACCTACCAGGTGATGGTGAGTTTGGAGTGGATTTTCATTAATCTGCAGTTTTTTCCTTCCCTTTTCCCTGCAGGATACACCATTGCTAATGCTGCTGCCACTGTCACAGCCCCTCAGCTCAAACAAGCAGTGACTGTGGGACAGGATTTAGCAACTTATGCAGCGTACGAAGCCTATCCCGCCTTCGCGGTCACCGCACGCAGCGATGGCTACGGAGCATTTTAGTCCTGGCTTTAGTCAAGGCCCCTTAAATCAAGCACAGGCAGAAAGGAAAAAAAAAAAAACAAACAACTCAGTCTGGTAGTTTTTACATCCTTGTGATTTTAAACTCATCTGTTGCCTGAGGTTCATCTTAGTCGGAGTTTCAGTCCTGGAGTTCTTCAGGTTCGTAACGGGATACTGGGGGGGGGGGGGGGGGGGGGGGGGTGGGAAGGGAGAAATTAAAGGAAAAAAATCGCTCAAAATCAGATTTTCCCAGTAGAAAGCAAAAGCTCAGCCCAGAAAATGAGCAGGTCTCAGGTGTGTATACATATATATTTTTATATATATATGTACAGCCTATTGTGTGTGTGTTTACAAGCAACGACCTGTGCTGAATACAGTTGGTCCCGTGGATGTTGTGACGCAGGACAGGGGAAGGAAGGGGTGTCCCCAGCAAAACCCTCCATGCATCAGGAATTCTCCTACATTCACCCAAAAATTCCTCCTCCAGCCTTGACTCCTTGGCCACATGGATTTGCCTCTCTCAGCACTGTGACAATGTGTTCAGGCACCTCAGGTGTCTTGGAGATTCTTTCTGGCACAGCCAAGGCAAAAAGTCACTTGTAATAAAGCTTTCTGCCCAGCCAAACGGGCTGGTTGCCATGCTGATTCGATTTTTAGAGCAGGAGGCAAGCACTCAGCAGAGCTTTCCCTCTTGCTTTGCTCCTTCCCAACCACGTCCACAAATCAGCAAATAACGGTGTATTTTTGTCCTCTTCCCATCAAATGGGAGCATTCACTGCAAGACAGGAAAACTTTCAGGACTATTAAGGCTGAGGACCAGAAAAGTGCTATTCATTAAGGCCAGTTCTCTACTTAATTAGAGCATGAGAGCTCACAGCCATGGCCCAGTAATAACAGGCACCTCTACAGGAACAAAATGATATCCAAGGAACATTTCCACAGTTTGGAAAGGGCCTTGCCTGGCTGCCAGTGCTGCTTTACACATCAAATCAAGGCTTCTGGCTGCTGTCATTCCACCAAAAATGAGTTTACTGGAACAGCAGTAAAGGCACCTCTCGCTTTGGAGAGCACCAGAGGTTGGTGTTGTGTCTGAACACTTTGGGGATGCTGAGAGCACCCCTTGCTTTACAGCAGGAAGGCATTACCCATTTATTTTTGACATGGGATCGAGGCAGGAGTAGTGATGCTCTAGAGATAGAGGAGGAACCTGGTGCTGGAGAACTAAGAGCAGACATGTTAATCCTATATCACATATCCTATGCAGTAGTGCACACTGTGAAAACTTAAATCTGCTCAGTCTAGGACCAAAAAAAACCCCTTTTTTGAGGGGGGAGAGTTTACAGCTGGGTCGACAACACCCATCGAGTCCAACAGATCTGGCCCCAAATTTCCCATCTGGTCTGGGTGATGGGATGAGGCACCAAACAAGCCATTCCAGGAGGAGTTTTTCCCATGCGTCCCCAAAACTGTACGAGGCACAGAGGTCTGTGATAAGGTGTTGGCTGCTGGGAACGCAGTGTTTTCTACTCTCATGCTCCGGCTGACTCGGCTTCGCTCGGAATGGAACAAAACCACACAAGCTGTGAAGTTTGTGGTCCCATTAGATCCCTTCTATTTATAAAGTACCTCGTTGGGGTGACCCTAAAGGTATTACAAGCCCTCTGTGGCTGCTGTTGGTCACACTTTAAATGACAAACCTGTTCACAGAGGGCTGAATAACCAAGAGTGTTATGGATCTTGTGGCTTTTTTCCCCCTCTTCTGTCTATGTCTTTAAGTCGTGTTTGTCAACGAGTAACACGTCCCTGAGTGTGTCTCTCTCAAAGGCCACCGTTGGCAAGAAGTGTTTCTCACTTTGCCTGTTCAGTGACTTTAGTCTGCTTTTTCAGCTATTTATATGAGTTCAGAAAGATGTCAAAGGAAAGGGCAAGAAGCAGTATTAAAAAAGTGTGTGCATGAAGCACTTATTTTTGTACACTAGTACAATATTTGTATAGAGTTTTAACACTATGGAGTGTAGCAAAAAAAAAAAAAATCACACTTTCCATTTACTGGAGGATAATCGTGCGTGTTTAAAGGGAATGAAGTGGAAATGGCATCTCAATCATCCATTGCAAGCAAATTATAACTGGGATTAAATTCTGTGAAGCAGGTCTGTAATTTTAGAGTAATCCGAGGACATTCACTGGACTTTGAAATATCATTAAAACTTTGTAAGCCAACCCACGTGCCTCTGTTCTTTTATAACCTGAATTCCAGCCCCTGTGTGGTCAATAAGAGCACACTCTGCTCCGTAGGGATCGATGGGAGGTCAGACAGGCAGGGGCACAAGCTGTTCAGCAGTGCCAGGGGTGTTTTCCACGTGCACCTTGGTGACACTCGTCGAGCTCACGCAGCAGAAAATCAGCAGTTTTACACCTCTGCACTTTCAAGTAAAAAAATCAAGGGGTTGGTGTTTTTTCCCATCAGCTCTCCGGTCAATATTTATTTCTCTGTCAGAGCTACAGGAATTGCTTTTGCTATAAATTGATTATAGGGGTAATAGTTCCTTGCCTGATCCCAGCGGAGATTTCTTAGGGTGAGATCAACAGTGAGGCAGCAGCGTGCAAAAATAAGGGGGTAGATGGGCTGCAAAAACAAGGGCATGGCTGATACCTGGGTCAGGACTGTGAGGGACTGGCCCCACCTTGAGGAGAGCCTGTTGCCAGGTCACCAATAGGTAAATCAGCTACACTCTGGTCACTTCAGGATGAGAAGCTGCTCCTTGGAACACCATCGTAGTTCAGCAGCTGAGAAACAGCAATTCCTGCTTCCACACCTGGTACAAAGGATTCTGGGTTTGCACCTTCCCAGAGAGATCCTGAGCCCAAGAAATGGGAGGAAGGTCTGGTACCTTGCTCCTGAGAGCACACAGCCCTCAGAAAAAGGCCTCCCTACCAAACCAAAAGAGATTTTGCCAAAATAACTTGACATTGTTCTTACAGACTTACAAAGAGGTCAGCTGTACTCTGGGCTCCAGTGAGAACAGCAGCTCTGCCAGCTCCATTATTTTCCCTCATTAGCTTTTCCTGATGTCCTGCTTTCCTTTTCTTTGAAACCAGGGCAATGGCAGAGTTTGCTTTTGTGCTGTAACGTTCCCCCCCCTCGGGAGCTGAGATTCCCTCTTTGCTCGGCAGCAGCTGGATGATCACTTTTGGAGAGCCAGAATGATTTTTCAAGGAATCTCAAATCCACAACCCAACTTAAAAAGAAAACACCATAATTTCCCTTTTGTAAAGATGTGGGTTCCCAGTGGAGAGCAAGACAGAGCCAAACCCCACATCCATCCTCCACCAACAAGTCTGAACATGTTTGAGGTGTACGTGATGAGAAGATCAGTGGCCCAGAAAAATCAGCAGATGGCCTCATATTTGGCTGCTTGTAAGGCAGGAGGTACAAACCCTGCATTTTCCATCTCCCTTCTTCCAGCCAGCCCTTTCCTGGAGGTCTCTGCAGCACATCTGAGGTGTAAAGGGGGAATAAAACATGCCTGAGCATGTTTGGAGCTGGATAGACCCCGAAATGTCCCACATGGAAACTCTCTCTCATGTCCCACTGAAACCCCCTCCATGGGACAACGTCTCCAGTACCTTTCAAGGGCATTTGCTTTACCTTTGAGCTTGCATGGCTCCCTTTTCCCACTAGTCCAGCTAAATCTCTCAGAGGCCATCTCATGTCTCCATCAGACACCTACCTGGATTTCTCTTTTTTAGGGGGAAAAACCCCCAAACAACAAAACAACAAAAAGTCACCTTTGAAGGGTGACATTCCAGTCAGGGATCACAAATCACTGCTGTTCACCAGCTGGGGGTCAAGCCTGGTGCTGCTCATGGTGCTCTGATGGGATGCTCCTTTCTTTCCAGGGCTGGAAATTGTTGTGTGTCCCCAAAACCTCAGTCTTGGCTAAAACTGCAACTCTCGGCTGCCCTTTGTTAAGGGCCAAGGCAGGGCTCAGACAGCCTCTCCCTCAGGGCTGCTTGGGGTGGGCTGCTCTTTCCCTGGACATGCTCTGCCACCTCCATGCCCAGAGACTCATCCTGGCCTGGCTCCAGCTATCTGCAGGAAATGGGGACTGTGCACATCCAGGTTTGGGGCTGGTTAAGAGAAACATTGGAAGAGTGACACTCCTTGTTCCCCAGGCCCACCCTGGGCACGGGAAGCCCCAGTTATGAAGATGTTAAAAATCAGAGAGCTGCTGGTGGACCTGCAGAGAGGCTGCACACAGATATCCACTGTGGGATGCATGGAAAAAGCACCAGACAACCACAGGATCAAACAAATCCCAAAGGCTGCACCGAAGCCCAGAGACAGCAGAGGATTCTCCTCCCTCTCTCCAGTGCCTCGGGTCAGATCCTAATTCAGGGTCTCTTCTGCAGCTCCAAATACCGTCGGTGAATTTGGAATTTGCGCTGTACAAATAGGGCTTTGCACAGGAGGAAAGTGGTGGCGCAGTCACAAAGTTTCCCAAGTCCGTAGTAGTTTGTGTCCCACGACAACCGAAATAAAACAGGCGGAGCGTTGCCCATCTCCCGAGCTCGAGGCACAGGCGGCTCCACATGGAAGGAGAGCAGCCCCGGGGAGGGACGAGCAGCTCTGATGAGCAGTGCTATATTTATAACAGCTGGAGAGGTGCCCAAATTCCTGAAAACATTTTCTTCCAAGCTTTGGATCTGTTCGGCGGCGAGCTTGTTCTTGTGTAAAACGGCACTGGCACCTAGTGGCCGCCGGATCCAAGCGCAGCATCCCAAAAAGTTTCAGTCGGCACCCAGTCGCTGTGTGCCAGCTGCAGGAGACAGCCACGATGCTGTTAGAGAGCAAATAAAACCAAGGGCTTCTCTTGCCGCGGGGCTCGGAGCTGCTGAACTTTCTAGACACAAAAAATTAGGGAAAGTCGCAAAACCCCCTGCCCCCTAAACTTCAAAAAGCCTGTGCCCACTGCTGCCAGTCAAATAAAACAGCTGCTAGGAGGTGTCTCACAAAGCTGTCTACTCTGGGGCACGGGGGGAACTCTCCAGACACCCTAATTCTGCCTCTCAACACCTCCTCTCCCATAAGAAACTCCAGCTTCTTAAAAACTCTCTTTTGGTGTCAGATGCTCACGTTTTAGAGGGTAGATCTTACCCACGAGCATTTTAACTGTGCAATTCAACTTTGCTTCGTTAAACACGCTCAGTGCTACTGAAAAAGATCCACAGTTAATGTCATGCAATAATAGAGACAAAATCACCAGAAACAATAAAAAAAAACAAAACACAACAGTGGGGGAAAAAAGTGAAACATCACTTCCTTTTTCCTGGTGTATTTCTTTCAGGAAAACCAGAGCACTCCTGTGCAATTCACTGTGGCTTATGCAGTGTAAGAGGAACAGCAAGTGGAGAGAGAGAGAGAGACTGTTATCCTGGGATTCATTAGGCAGCACCATTTCCAGCCCAAGAAGCAGCCCCTGTGTTTCATACAGGTGCTCTGACCCTCTTTGAAGGGGCTGTGGTCACGCACGGTCCCACCTGGAAACATGAGCAAAGCGGGACAAACTTTGCAATGAACTTTCTGGATCATTTTACAGCCTGAGTGTTTCTGTCCTGGGCAAACTGATCCCACGGCACAGCAGCATCCTCTGCTCCTCCCTGTATCCCACAGTGCTGCCCACAGAGTGATTTTGCCAAGGAAAGCAGGGTAGGAGGGCTGGCTGGGCGAGTTACTGGGAAAGGACATCAGGAGCATCCTCAGGGATTGGATTCCCAGCGATGTTCTTTCAAAGCTCTCTCTTTCCTGGCTCCATATTGCGAGTGCTTTGAGCTCCTCCGGGTGGGGATCTCTGAGACTGATTGCAGCTGGTTTAAAATGAATAATTCATCCTCTCCCACTGATGTTAAAGAGAGGCGAAATTATCTGATTGATGATTCTCTGAAGAATTAAAGAGATTGCATACAAAATTGGTACACATTATTGGAGCTTATTAAACATTTACTGTCAGGCCCTAGAAGAATCCCAAATCCAGATCTGAAAGGTGTGTTTTCTCTGGCACATGTAAACATCCTTAATTTTGATCTTTTTGATGCGTCCCAAAGTGATATTTAGAGGGTAAAATGCCATCTGCTGCCCCTTTGCTGTGGCTGGAAGGCTGGGCAGGAGCTTAACACAAGAAGAGTGGACAAAGTCAGCCCCAAAGTCTTTCTCACCCAGCATCTGGTCTGTGTCACAGATATATGAGATCTTCAGGCCATAAAATCAGCACAAACACAGGTAGTCCTTCCAGACACTCAGTGGCCTCCAGCCCATCTGTAATTTCTTGGGCCACTGAGAGCTTTCTGAGGGGATTCTCCTCCAAAAGCTTGCCCAGCAAGCTGAAATTTCAGAACCCACACGTGGTGGGCAGCACTGAGCCCACCTGGCACACCAGTCACTTCAAAAGTGGCACTGGTGAAGGAGAATAAATAACACAGGCATTTCTTTCCAGAAGGAAAAAAAGAAAAGCCAACTGTTTCAAACTCTGTGAGTGACTGACCTTCCTCTCCTTGCTTGAGGCCCGGGAGGTGGGAGCCCACACAGCCACTCTCAGCAGGCACCTCTGAAACTGGAATCCCTGATTTACGGAGAGCTGTGGGCAATTCTCTTCCCGTGGTGCTGTTGTAATCCTCCAAAGGATTAAATGAAATTATATTCCAGCCTTCCTGATGAATATCTATCTTATTTAACCCTTTGTCATCCTAAAAGGTCAGCTTTGCACTTCAAGCACACTTGAGGAATCTTCCCTTCTGATGCCTTGGGAATTCAGCAGCTCTGTCCAGTTTTATGGACTGGGGTCAATTTTATGGACTATTTTATGGCCTGGATTAGCTCCCAATACGCACCAATTCCCTCAGAGAGATCCTATTCACCATCAATATGAGCTTGTTTAATGACTGAAGAAAAAGTTACATCTTTTATTACAATAAGAATCAACTGCAATGAGATCTGGCCAGGACAGGAACCACTTGAATGAGAACACACGAGGAGACTGAACTGCAGCTAAAAGCCAAAACTTTGCAGGAAGCTGAACTTTGCGAAGCAAAGGATGACCAGCAGCACTCAAGGGACAGCAATGATGTACAGAGCCACGGGTGCCACAAAAAAACCCTTCCAGAATATCACAGAATACCCTGAGCCTGAAGGGACCCACAAGGATCATCCAAGTCCGACTCCT